TTGCATGAGAACTAATCAAGATGTAACGAGCGCAACATTTTTTTTTAATACATTGAGCCGTGAGTATAATAGACGTTTCAAATATCACTATACCTGGTAACGGGTGCTGTCAGCGTAGATATTAGAAACGTTAAAATTAAAATAAAAAACGTAAAATATGCGTTTTTCCCTCAAAGAATAAAAATAAACCGAAAAAAGTTTAAAATACGTTCAAGTACTTTTTATGTAACACAAAAATCAATTTCATTCAACGTCGTTATCACCATCTGACTGATCTGACCACTCTATGGTTTTCTCCATATAATTGATATTGTCCAGCTTTGCCTTTAGGCGAAGATTTTAATACACAAACATTACATCTCGCACTTTTTTGCACTGCATACAGTTTCGCTTTTACGTATGAATAAATTAACATGTTGAACAGTCTCTCTCGCAGGCGGAGGCGGATGTCACCTCTGCTAAGACCCTAACCTCAACTTGTTGCAGCTCCGTAACGTGAGCTTTAAATGACATTCACCACCTATATGCTGACATTTGTTTAGGAACTGCAACAGCCATCGGTCGAGTAAAATCCTTGTCCTGCACGATACATGGCGTGCTGTTGCACAGCTTTCACCTGCGACTGAATACCGTCACGGTATATTCTTTCTAACATCGCCTGAAAGCCTGCGATGACTTCTTCGTTTTGATCTTGGGAAAAATGAGAAAAACTCGGTCTCGAGCACAAAAGCTGGCTGCGTGTAAGCTGTGTGTAACATTTTCCATCTGTTCATAACGAACTGGCGAATTTGTTTTCTTTTTGTGTTGGGTGTAAATCAGCAGCTTCCACAGACTAATCGATTTTAAACATTTTCGAATATACTTTTCTTGTAGAAAGTACCTTCCTGAAGAAGATACTTTTCCGTCGGCCAGTCGCAGAAGCTCAACAATCGACTCACATCAGTTATTGTTTCCATCGAGCTCCAAAACGTTCAATTCAAAATGCCCGTGACTGCTTCGCCTTTCTTTTTAAAAACTGCATCATTTAGCCACTTTTGTAATCACTTTTCACAATTTACAGCAGAGCATCATTGACTGTACGCAAACGGTGCAGCATAATAAAGTGAGTAGCAATTTTGTTTTGCCTGGATTTAGAAGTTCTATCTCAGAATGATTCCGAAAGCATGCTTTGGAATACAGGCGAGTTGTGATGAATTTCACAATATCTTTAGAATCAGTAATTACACTATCTATACATGGCAGCTACCCCATGTCTTCAAGTAAAAGATCCAGATAGTGAGTCGTGCTTGGCGAGAAAACAATATTAAGTTACTGTTGCTGTAATATCGTACGAGCTGCAACACAATTTGATGCACTGTCCTTAATAACTGTTACAACACTTTCCATGCCATACGAATCAGTGCACTTTGATATCTCGCCGTATTAAACAATTTGTCTTTGAACCGGAATTATCCAAAGCATTGACAAAAATACAGCCATCACCAGTAGCTGCAAGAAAGTTAACAATGAGCTTATTCTTCACATTTGTCCAACCATCAGACATAAGAGTAACTCCGTGCTTGGCGTCTTTTTCCTTAAAAGAGGATATAAATTGCTTCATTCGATGTACATCCCCAGTTAGCATTTCCGTTGAAATTTTTATTCTGATTGATGTTTTAAAGTGAGGACCACATTTTGCCACGGCAGTTATTGCATCTTTAAAATAAGTACTGTCGGCAATAGCGAATGATATGCCGCTGGCATAAAACAAACAAGCGACTTTGTCCGCAACCTTTTTCGTAGCACTAGCTAACACAGAATAACATCAACTTCTCACTAACTTCACTACTAGCGGCTTTTGTGGGTTTATCCAGTGCGTCGAGTTTTCGTTTTTTCGCTTCCGCTTCTAGTCTCTCTGACTGCTCCTTTTGTAAGGCCTACTGCACTTCACATGGAACTTAGAACATTTTCTGATGCCAAACTTTGGATCTCCTAGTAGGTGACTTCTTATACGAACAACACCACTGTGAAATTCTTTATTACAATAAATGAAACTAACTTTGCACAAGTGACGTTATCTTTTTCATCTAGTACTAAAACATGTTTCCATTCTTCACTTTTTTCTTTCGGCATTTTAACAGCTATACACAAGAAATATTTATTTTCAATTCATAATTTAATATAGACAATCGTAATCGCTACTTGCCCGCTAGTTGTGTACGTAAGGTGCACGTGCCAGTATCGTTATGTAGCCCATGCAGCTCGACCTACTGCCCAAGCTGTCGCAGGAAGAAAATCGATTTTCCAAGAAATACTACGACTATTGTGCGGAATATTGACCGAAATGTTTATAAAAAAAATGTTTCCGTAGGTAACTAGACCTATAAACAGACGGTAAATTACTGGTTGGACATCAATGCACATCAATGCGATGGACTGTCCATGCATGTGGTCGTTTTTTTATCCTGCCACCCTCCACCCCACCCCTGCAGATTGACCCCTGCTGTCACTTGGGACTGCGAAAAAATATTTTGCGATTCAAACTTGGCGCTGAAGTTGGCCATCCATCTACTGCGAGTTCACGTTATTGCCATGCATAATCTGCTCCTGTATAATGATATTTGTTGCCAAACTTCAAAGGGACACTTGCGAGTTGCGACACTGAGACCGCTATAACTTGCATAACTTGCAACATTCTCGATGATCCGACCAACCGCGCAAAAAGGCAAAAGTTTGATTTTCTTTCAAGAATTATTGATTGAACGAGCAACAACATTATCAAGCGTGAGAAAATATAAAAAATTCTGGACAATATTTAGTCAAATTAGTATAAATAAATCAATACATGAATAAAAAACGAACATTTTTTTTAAGAAAATAAAAACGTGAAAAACGTTCCCAGAAATAAAAAAAAACGAAAACAACAATGTTATTTTTAGGAGAAACTAAAAACGTAAAGAAACGTTTTTGACTACTACGTCTGTCTTATTGGTCTTCTTCCAGTCAACCCAGTCCCTTGGCTGGCAGTCATATTACACGCATGTATGTAACTTGATGGCTATCGGACTTTCCATATTCAAAGTACATTTCTTGTCGATACTGATAGTATCAAAACGAATTAAGACACTTTCCTGAAATACAAATTATAATATGACTTATATGATTGTTCACATTTGACGTAATTTTAACTTAAGTATTATTCCGCCAAAGTTTATATCTTCGTGCGTCATAAATCTTTGTCTTTCTTAATACCCGTTTAATGAAAAGTACTTGCCATTACCTACTTGTTCTAGATAAACCATTTATGTATGTAAAACAGTGTTTATGACCAATGCAGTTAAAGTTGTTTAGGACTGACTAGAATTCATTTTATTTGCTCCCAGTAAGTGCAGAAAAACAACCCATCTTCAATTTCTTCTAAGTTTTAATCACAGTCCACATCTTGCCATGAACTGGATTATGCATAAGTATCAGTGACAATTAATTTTCACTACATACATCCTCCATATTGCTTTAGACTGATTCACACTCTGTGTACAAAAGGTATGGAATTGTTTTCATTATAAGTTATTTCACATACTCTCTGCTAAATGATTATAGGTTACTGCATTTGTATGGGAAAATATGAACGAGATTTTCGGATGGATATGCTGCACGACCTTGGGAGTTCAGTATATCCTTCCGACAAAACGAGTTCATATTTTCCCATACAAATACAGTAACCTTTTTATTATATACTCATTTCTTATTTTTCCCAAGGCTTAAATATATAAACAAAAATACACTGAAAGAAACAAAGTAACTAAATGTACGTCGTATTCCGAACTAAATACATAAGCGTTGATGGGACATTACACAACATTATTAATGAGCGCATAACTCCGCCTAGATAAATATGAAGTTGGTCGCGCGCTAGACGTAAGTTTCGAAAGAAAATGGCGCTTGCTCTACTTAAAATTGAAATTTGGAGTAATATTGTTGATGAATACGCATTGCAACAACTTTTCTATTTGATCTGGAATAAATACCTTTTGGTATATATTTCGATTCAACGCAATTTGTTTTATTATGGTCTGGATTTATCTACATGAAGTGACTTGCATCGGTTTCCAGCAGCGTCTGCCATTTTAATATTTTGAATTGTGTTGAGATCGGCATGCGTGATTCTTTTCTGTCATTGAATGATTCAGATCACAATGTGGGAAAATTATGATGCCTTTCCATTGCAATTATCAAAAATACGCTGTGGAATTTAATGTTTATTTCATTTTGAGTGCAGTAAGGAGGATGAAGCTACACTTGGGATATACTCGAAATTACAGTACAATTTCAAAATGTGTAATCAATCTTGAGAACCCATGACATGGCTCATCTAATTCAGATTTACAGACCTACGAAAATATATTTTTTGAGGAAATTCATGATGTAAAATTGTAAGTATATTTTTGGCCATTTTTATTAACAGCTAAAGAAGACAGATTATGTGTATAACTTGCGTTTTATGGTAGGAACCGTATAGCGTCATTATATAGTTAAATTTGAAACATTGTATCAAAAAAGTAAATGCGGAATGTGCCAAAGCAGCTTGTATGTGTCAGTCTATGAAACATTTGCTGGTATAATGTGGCCGTCTATGAAATATATGCTTTAGTTCATTCATAAAATATTGTTTACGTTAGAAAATAGTTCCTTTGCACGTGGGATACAGTATAAAGGTGTTCAATATCGGTGAATATTGCACGATTCTGACAATGTAAAGTTAACGGAGAAAAAAGATGAGCATATAATAATGCATGATACTTAATGGAAAGAAATGGGACATCACTATTTCCAGAATTTGTAACCATTTCTGCACGTCAGAAGATTATCCACCTGTACTTAAATATGGCATTACCAATAGCCCTGAATGCAGCTTTGCCTTCAACAATTGGAGAGTTACGTTCATATATTTTTGATAACTATGAAAGATGCAACTAATATAGCCATAGATTTATAGCCTACAAATAGAGATTACAAATTGTGATAGCTCAGGTGGTCTAAATGGTTAGAGCGTCCACCTCAGATGCGGAAGGTCGTGGGTTCGAATTCCGACCAAATCATACCAAAAGACCTATAAAAATGGTACTAGCAGTTGCCTTGCTTGGCGCTGAACATTAAGAGGCTAGTGTTGAGACAGATGGGCCTTGTGTCAAGATAATGTTACTGGGAGGGATATCATGCTACATGCCTGCTCATGATACCGCAGTGCGAGACATCACTATAAACTGCCACACTGGAGATGTCATAACCAAATGACAGAAAATTGTTATAGTTATGTTAAAAATCCAAATCACACACACAGTACTTGTAATTGTACTCAATATGTCAATAGTAAAAAATTGTTTTAGTGTATGCTAAGCCAATGATTACTGGACTTTTCTCAAAATATAATTTTGATAATCAATTGCAAAATTATTTGTTCACTGCCTTTAATGGGCATGGATAACATTATTAAATTTTAGGAAAGGTTTGACGCTTGCTTGGTCTAGTGATAATTATGGTCGTATTGCATGCAAGTGAGCATTGCTAAAATTCCACAATGTGCATATATTGTTTTTACATTGAAGTAGGAATGTCAATTATCTTACTACTGATACTTCTGTGTTAATATATACAACACAAAGCAGTTCATAAACCGTTGATACTATCAAGAGGGATACAGAAAGAAATCAAATGCTTCGGTCTGCTATAGTTATTGCTAGCCAATGCGTTTGCTTGCTCCGCCGGAATAATGGATATATTTCATCTCTTGGATGAAAGACTCGAGTATTGTCCCCTACTCGATGAAATATATCAGTGATTCACTCATTTGAAGCAAATATTCCATGCGGAAAATGAGTCATGGGATTTGCAAAATAGTTTACTTAAATATTTTTGATGCTATCCGCTCAATGCGAACAATAGAAAATATTTGAAGCAATCTTAGCATAAGAAGAGTTTTTATTGGCTTTAAACTAAATTTGCAGTTTGCACATTTGCTACCTCGTAAACGCAACATCAAAAATAAAAGATTTAATAACAACTTATTGAGCAAAAAACTTAATTTTGTTTACAGTACAAAAGGATCACTGTTTTGATAATATAATACAAGAAGAAATTAAATTAATAAATTCTCTTCCTAAAGAATTTCATAATAAAGAAATTTATTGCCTTCGTTTTAAAATTGTACAAAAGATACTTGTGATAAATGTATTTTTGAAGAGAGTTTGAATTACTGGAAATAATGCCTGCATTTTGTAATAGAAAATGCTAAATTATTTCACATTAATTTCCTCTTGCACCAAGTCTTTGAAACAATATGACAAAATTGTTTTTGTTTTAAAAATAAATGGACACTGTAAACATTCACACTTACTCTGCAATTTAACTAAAAGATTATAGTCAGCATTTTTTAAAATACAAAGCTATTGAATGTCTTTGTGCTTATTATAAAACATTACATATATCAAATAAACATTATATTAAACCAAATTAAATATACACCAAATAAACATTATGTATACAAAATAAAACAATATACATAACAAACAAAACATTGCATATACCAAATAAACATATACATACATCATAAAATAATACATATGACAAATAAAACATTACATATACCAAATAAAATATTACATATACCAAACAAAGCATTGCATATACCAAATAAAACAAATATATGTACATTGATCTTACATATGTATTTAGAAGCCACATTCAATCAGAAATGTAGATATAAAGATAAAATAAAAACACTTGTGAAAAAGTTGCATGATATATAATGTGTTCAATCAACATGACTTTTATTTTCTGGGCAAGTTGATGTTTGAAATAATATATTATTCGATCATATATAAATGCAAAAGTGCATGCATGTCAAGTTTATGGGAAACTTCGAACATTTTAAACAGGTATATAAGTGTTTTGACTTTGAAAAGTTATACATTTGTGTTGAACTTTCTTGCTTCAGTTACAATCAATTCTGCATAGCGTGGATTTAGGATTATTCGTTGTAATTGATTATCCTAGGTTTCCTTTTGAAACAAAATAGTATTTTTAAAAAGTAACATCCAGGAAAAATATGAATGAAATTGCATATATTCATATGATTCGTCTTTTCCCCTCAAGAGTAGACCTAAGACGATATTTAAGGTCGTTGCATATGATTTATCTGTAGCAGCATTGTCTTTACAATGATAGCTTGTTGGCATTACATGTTGCTTATTACCTGCAATGATAGTTACAATGATAGTTTGTTGGCTTTACATGTTGCTTATTACCTGCATATTATTGTCTTTACAATGATAGTTTGTTGGCTTTACATGTTGCGTATTACCTGCATATCATTGTCTTCACAATGGTAGTTTGTTGACCTAAATGTTGTCTATTACCTGCATATTGTTGTCTTTACAATGGTATTTTGTTGGCTGAAATTTTGCGTATTATCTCCATATCATTGACTCTAGAAGATACTTCTTGTTCAGGATTTTCTTCCCGTTATGCATTTTGATCATTTTGATTACCATACTTCTCATAAAGAATTCGCAATTAGGTTACAGCCAAACGTTCATGTGAGCCCATTCAATAAAGGCAACAAAACTTTATAATAAAGGCCTGTGCTCTTATATAGTTTAGTGACCCATGAGCCAAATTGAGAAAAAAGTTGCATCATTTAAATGAATTATTTACACACATGGATACCGCTACCTGTGTCATTCTCGTCTATACACTATACAAAACCAAAAGTTGGCTCAACAGTCGAAGTAGATGAAACAATTTTAGCATATAGCAAAGCTGACTTCTCGCAATGATACAAAGAACGTTTGTGTCCGATTATGTAGACAATATATTGTAATAAATTTTCAAATGTTATGTTTTCTATAAGCGGTCTGAGCAGTTTCGTCTTCAATACTCTTGGTATTACCGTAGTCCTGTAAAAAAAATTCGGCAATATTTATTTCGACATACACTCAATTTTCCGACAATATTTAGTACCCAACTATTGCATGACCAGACAAGTTCAAGAAAATAAGTGAAATATATGCATGATTATATATTAAGCTGCCTGTACGGCAATCACAAACTATCATTGATAGTAAGGTGCACTTATGCTGATTTGCTAAATCATGCCAGGTACTCTAGATAATTGTGTTTCAGACTATATTACATGACAACACTATCATAGACGTTTATTACTAGAATATTCATTTTATTATGACTACAGTGTAGAGTTTTATCTTGGAAACCAGCTAAATATAGATTGTGGATGAGCCGTAATATTTTAAACATGACATGTCAAGATTGAACTCATTAATTAACAAACAACATGCTTAAACTAATTAAAGAACGACATACTGTTTAAAATGGTAATAATAAATTTGTCTTGAAAGAAAACAGAAGCGTATTTTAACAGGATAGTTTTACGTATGGATGCGTTTTAGATCTATGCTCACTGGACATTACTTTCATACCTCAGTATTATAATAATGGTCTGAAAATATATATTAATTAGCTACATGATATACATATACAATCTCTAATAATTTGTGCCTATTATATGTGAAAATATATTTTTGAAGAACGTTTGGAACAAAATAGTTTCACCGAAGCTTTACTTATATACTGACTTATTTGGTCTATTATTTTCGCTCTCAGTATATAAAGTAGATAGATAAGATAAACTTATGGTCTATCCAACATGTTTATGAAGAATACAGAACACGCATGACAAGGATATTTGGAAAACAGGCACACAAAAATGAGACGTAATTACAAATGCAAAATAAAGGAAAGTCTAACCATTTAATGATCATTCTGGATTGAGCGTTACAACAATGGTCTTTGTCAAACGCAAAATTTGCGATTCCATGCTACCCAATTAGTATGCAGCGCTTCAAATCAAAGAGACTGCATATAGTGAGTTGGCCATTGCTGTTAAAATACTACTGTACGAGAATATGTGTTTCATAAAGCAATTTTGAAATGGCCAGAAGCATCGGGACAGGAGCAAGCACTGGCACTGGGGTTTTAGTAATCAAAAGATGCGATCACTTTTGTTTAGATTGCTTATTATATACGAATATGCATATTGCATCGCATTTGGGAAATTGTGTACAGAAATATACATATAGTTTAGGACATTTAGTCATGACCACAAAATTAAAAGATCGCGACAGCACTCATCAAAATGAACAATAGAAAAGCAATTTTATTGAATAAGTTAATCAATTATGAATACATACATATAATTAAAGCATCAAGTTGAAGTCACAGTGAAAAGTATGAATAGATGCGTGCAACTTATAGTATACCAAGACAATAAATATGTTACGGCATGACAATTTCGTGGTGCTCTTCAACCTCTCAAACAGTCTCTGTCATCCCAGAACAAAATATCGGGATCATTGCAATCATCAGCCCATGTGATGTATATTGGTGCACCGGCAGTAATGTGGGAAAGAGACAGGTACGAAACTGACTGGTGGACTGGTGACAACTCTAGTATCGTAGACCAAAACCCACTGGAAATTATCTGAAGCAGCGCACGAAGTGCACGACGATGTCATGTTGGTCCTATTAAGGAAAAGGGCTAAACGTATTAGTCACAAAAGTATGGATCCATATATTGGCACGAATATGATATAAACAGACAAAATACACTGAATTATTTACACAAAATATGGTATCATGTCGTTTGTATGAAAACAATTGTAGTTCCAACAAAAAAAGTCATTCCTATCTTAAGTTACATATTTTCATAAAAGATGCTGTCAAGAATCTGTCGTTTGTACATCTTTACTACTAACAGTTAAATTAATGACGTGTCTAAGAAATAAGATTCTGATGTGCATACTTATTCCAAGTCTGTATATTTTGATATTATGGAAATTCTATAATTAAAAACAAACTGTATTTTCCAGCAGTCCTCGGTAGAGTAGTTGGGAGTTTTTGTGAATGGCAAAGTGTGACTGGAAGTTCGTTCTTCCCAAATATGGCAGAGGCAAAAACCAGTACAATTCCTAATAAAAAATGCTGCCTAACTAATTATCTATCTCAACAGATTGATTAAAAATAG